GTATCTTTCTCTCTGAAGCATGGGGAGAGTTTGTGCAGACATGGGATATATGAACCTGCCTTCTATTTTGGATGAGGATTGTCCACTCAGACCAATAGAAGTTCTCCAAGACCTCAGGCAGAAAAATGACTTTCCCTTTACCTGCTATTTAATCTTTTTTTTTTTAATTTTTAAAAATAGTTTTTATTGAATATAAATATTAAAAAAGACATACGTAACATATACACAACAAACATTTATACAACATATACACAAAAAGAGTATAATTTCTTCTTTGTCCGAGGGAGACCACTGTTCCTCAGATAGCCGGATGTGAGTCCCTCTTTGTGAAGTGGGGCCGTGGGGTGCAGATGGGTTTGCTGACTGCGTACCTGGCTCCCTGCCACGTGGCAGCGACCCTGCCCGAGCTACTCGACGTCATTGCCGGGGTGGCGGTTGACACCCCCAGACTTATTGTCATGGGGGATTTCAACCTTCCGTCTGCGGGTGAGGCGTCAGAGGCGGCTCGGGAGTTCATGGCTTCCATGACGGCCATGGACCTGACCCAGTTAGTTCAACGCCCGACTCACATAGGGGGACACACTCTGGACCTGATTTTTGTCTCTGGTCAGTGGTTGAATGATCTTGGTAGAGGGGACCTAGACATCAAACCCTTGTCATGGACAGATCATTCGCTCCTTCACTTGGACTTTCCTACCGCTTTCCCCCACCGCAGGGAGACGGAACCGACCAAATGGTTCCGTCCCAGGCGCCTGATGGACCCCGAAAGGTTCCTGACGGAGCTTGGGCCGTTTCCTGAGACTCTGGCACACGACTCGACTGAAGAGCTGGTGGCCGCCTGGGAGAGTGCGGCCACCGGAGCTTTGGACCGCGTCGTGCCTTTGCGGCCTCTGACCCGATGCCGATCTCAATTGGCTCCTTGGTTCTCTGAGGAGCTGAGAGAGATGAAGCGTCGGAAAAGACGCCTAGAGAGCATTTGGAGGACTAGTCAATCTGATTCCGACCGGACACAGGCGAGGTCTTATATCAAGACCTACCTAGTGGCGATAAAAGCGGCGAAATCTAACCATTTTTCCGCTCTTATCGCATCTGCAGAGAACCGCCCAGCCGCCCTGTTTAGGGTGACCCACTCCCTTCTTCGGGGGGGAGTGCGGGAAGATCCCTTGCAAGGCCGCGCTGAGGATTTTGTGCAATTCCTGCATGATAAAGTAGCTCGGATTCGGGATGGCTTGGACTCCGATTGGATGAGTCCAGGGGAGGAGACAGGGGCAGGCCTTGAGAATATTATCTGGGAGGAGTTTGATCCTGTGGCTCCCGAAGATGTGGACAGGGTTCTGGGTAGGATTAGTGCCGCCACATGTTTATTGGACCCGTGTCCCTCCTGGTTGGTACTGGCCTCCCGGGAGGTTACACGAGGCTGGCTCCAGGGGATTATAACTGCTTCTCTGAGTGAGGGTGCCTTTCCCGCCGCCTTGAAAGAGGCGGTGGTGAGGCCCCTCCTCAAGAAGCCTTCCCTGGACCCGGCTGAATTAGTTAACTACCGTCCGGTCTCCAACCTTCGTTTTGTGGCGAAGGTTGTTGAGAGTGTGGTGGCACGACAACTGCCCGGGCACCTGGATGAAGCTATCTATCTAGACCCGTGCCAGTCGGGCTTCAGGCAGGGGCACAGCACAGAAACGGCATTGGTCGCGTTGGTGGATGATCTCTGGAGGGCTCGGGACAGGGGTTGCTCCTCTGTCCTAGTCCTATTAGATCTCTCAGCGGCTTTTGATACCATCGACCATGGTATCATGCTGCGGCGGTTAAGAGGGTTAGGAATAGGGGGCACCGTTCTGCGGTGGTTCTCCTCCTTCCTCTCCGACCGCTCGCAGTTCGTGTTGGCAGGGGGGCAGAGGTCGACCTCGAGGCATCTCGCATGGGGAGTGCCACAAGGGTCGGTCCTCTCGCCCCTTCTGTTCAACATTTATGTGAAGCCACTGGGTGAGATCATCCGTGGTTTTGGGGTGAAGTGTCATCTGTACGCTGATGATACTCAGCTGTACATCTCCACCCCAGACCACCCCAACGATGCCCTTGATGTGATGTCTCGCTGCCTGGCGGCCGTGCGGGTCTGGATGGGGAGGAACAGGCTCAGACTCAACCCGTCCAAGACCGAGTGGCTGTGGCTGCCGGCGTCCCGATATAGTCAGCAGGTGCCATCGCTGACTATTGGGGGTGAATCTTTGCCCCCCACAGAGAGGGCTCGCAATCTGGGTGTCCTCCTGGACGCACGGCTGTCTTTAGAAGAGCATATGACGGCCGTGGCCAGGGGGGCCTTTTATCAGGTTCGCCTGATCCGCCAGTTGCAGCCCTTTCTGGACCGGGATGCCTTGCGCACGGTCACTCATGCCCTTGTCACCTCCCGGCTGGACTATTGTAATGCTCTCTACATGGGGCTCCCCTTGAAGAGCACTCGGAGGCTCCAACTGGTCCAGAATGCGGCCGCGCAGGTGGTTATGGGCGCAACTCGTGCCCGCGTGACACCCCTCCTGCGCGAGCTTCACTGGCTCCCAGTGGTCTTCCGGGTGCGATTCAAGGTGTTGGTTACCACCTTTAAAGCGCTCCATGGCATAGGACCCGGGTACCTTCGAGACCGTCTTCTGCCACCAATAGCCTCCCACCGACCAGTCCGCTCCCACAGAGAGGGTCTCCTCAGGGTGCCATCAGCCAAGTTATGTCGGCTGGCGACACCCAGGGGGAGGGCCTTTTCTGTGGGAGCCCCAGCCCTGTGGAATGAACTGCCCCCGGAAATACGCAAGATCTCCGACCTCCGAGTGTTTCGTTGCGCACTGAAGACCCTGTTGTTCCGCCAGGCAGGGCTATCAACTTAATAATTTTAATTGGGGTATTTTAGATGTTTGGGGTTTTAAATCGGCCAAATCTATGTAATTATTTTAATTTTTAATTATTGTTGTGTGTTGTGTTTTTAAATTGGCTGTACACCGCCCTGAGTCCTTCGGGAGAAGGGCGGTATAGAAATAAAATTATTTATTAATTATTTATTTATTTAAGCATTTTTTCAGTGACATTCTACAATTCTACTTATGATATATTCCTTCACCTCTCCTTAATCTAATAACATTTTTTATTATATATATATATATATTTAAATCGGTAATATTTCCCCCTATATTTTTTGTATATTTCTGATTTTTAACCAATTATACCAATTATTCCATATTTTATAATAATCTGATTCTTCTCTTTCTTGTAATTCTTTGGTTAACCTATCCATTTCAGCGCATTCTAAAATTTTTCCTATTACTTCTGTTTCACTTGGTATTTTTTCTTGCTTCCAATTTTTTGCGTAAGTTATTCTTGCGGCAGTTAATATGTGAATTGTGAGATATTTGATATCCTTAGGGTATGATTTGTTAAAGATTCCTAATAGAAATGTTTCTGGTTCTTTTTCAATCTGTGTTTTTGTTATTTGTTCAAACCATTTTTTGATATTAGACCAAAATTTATTTGCTACCGGGCAAGTCCACCATAAATGATAGATCTTTTAATAGGAAATGCCAGTAGGTGGAAACTGAGACCACCAGTGCGCAAAGCAGGGGCTCTGCAATGGATTACTTGGTCCTTCCTATTGCTGTGGTTGTTCTTGAGCGTACAGTTCACAGAGGATAACCACAGTACAAAGAGACTTGCTGTTGGGAATGTTCATTTAGAACCTGGGGCAGGCTTCTACCTTCCAAAGAATTGGAGAGAGTTTGGCAGTCAAGGAGAGAAGACTCTTTTCCCTTTCCCTTCCTTTCTTTTCACTGAGCTACTAAACTGTTAATAAGACTTAATCCATGGCCATTCCATTAATTTCCTTGTCTCTGTGGGAAACCCAGATGCTTGGCGCTCTCAGGCCTGCAAGAGACAGAAAGCATTACACGATTTTGTTCAGTAAGCATGTGGGAACGTGTAAGAGGTGCAGAGTGGTCTGGATTTCTCTGACCTTCTGGGCTTTCTCCATCTCATTTGGAGACATATCACGTCTCTTCAGTGTACCTACTTACTATCCTCTGGATGTTTTCTCCTTTGCTGAATGCTTCCTCCTGTCTGTCACCTTCCCTTACCAGCTCTTTTCCAGCCCCTTGCAAGAGGGTGAGATCATATTCCTTAGCTCTATATTTAAGCATTCTTCATGGGTTAAGTCAAATGTCACTCCTCCCAGTACAGTCCAAAAAACCTCCCTCTCTCCCTCCCTCACAATCCAAATCCCCTTTTTCCTCACCGAAGATTTGAAGTGAAATTTAGCGTTGCCCAACTGATTTTCTGGAATGTTCTTTGGACAAAGAATAGATGTGAGATGGTACGACCCTCTCCATCCCTGCCAGCTGCAACAGGCTCTAGCACTTTTACATGCATTGTACAGCGTGAAGAAATAGCTTTTCCTGCATCTAGTTTGAATATTACTTTGACTTCTTAAACTATTAACTGGCGCAGCCTAGCAGACAGTGCAGGCATTACAGAGCAGGGATGGCCTCCCTCAACCGAATGTTGAAGCTCTGCAAATAATCACTTCCGATCTTCCTAGCAGCCTGCTTGGTGAGAAAGGGGTGGGGGTGAGGGAGAAGACAGAAAAAGAAGGAAAACAGGCAGGCAGGCAGGCAGACAGACAGACAGGGGTGGCAGCGGCTTCATTTACAACAGATATACAGAGATTCCCCTGCCTAACCAAAATGTATAGGGGTGAATAGCAAATAAATTTCAAGCTATTCATACGCCTAATACACTCTAATGCACAATTAGAAATGTAAACCAATACAAGACTTTAAAAAACTATCTATACTACATATATTTTAAATATGTTTTTGAAAAATAAAGATATTCCCTTTACTGCCCCTGCCCACTCAATTCTTTCATTCCTATTCTTTCACTTAGCGATTTTAAGTGTACTAAATAACCTTATGTCCGGGCTGGGCTGTTTCTATAATAATGTGTCTCTTTGTCTATCACTTCCTCTGCAGAAAAGCCAGGCCCAGCACACAATGTTTTGGTGAAGGAGGTATGGGGCTTTAATGCCTTAGTAGAATGGGAGCCTCCCAAGGATGATGGGAACTCAGAGATCACTGGCTACTCCATCCAAAAAGCTGACAAGAAGACAATGGTAAGGTCAATTTTCTTTATAGCTCCCTTTGCTAATCTATGAACATGTTTGGTTTTTTCTGGCCCTTACTGGGAAAGTGTTAACTATGTGGTTGACATGATGGCACATAATCAAGCAATCAATTTCTTGCAAGAAGTAATTAGAATGGATTTGGGTTTTAACAATCATATTGTGTATCTCCTTAGTCAGCTACACTGACTACTGGTCTCTTTCCAGATCCAATTCAAAGTGCAAGTGGTTTTTGTGACTTAAAACCAGGGTCCATATGTTTCTACTCATAAATTAAGAGCCTCAGTGGAGAATCTTCTTTAAGCTCCTTACTACCAAAAATGAGATGAATGAATAGAATGAATAGAAGACAAGATCTATCCAGACTGCTGACCATTTCACACTCACACTCTCTCTCATGCACACACCTCAACAGATGATGACATAATGTCACGTGAACACATTATAAAAGAGAGGCATCCATAGATAGATAGATTCTTAGAACATCCTCAGTTAACATTCATTTAAGCATACATGGGCTGCAGTAGGCTTACTGCTGAGATTATCAGAGAAAGTACGTATCCACTATCACTGCAGGAGTTCCACTTGCCAGAATAATTCACTGTCAAAATCCAATTCAGTTACAGCTAGACGATCAGGCAATAATTCCAAGACTGCTGTGGGAGCAGTATCAAAAGATCTGAAATACGTGATTTGGGGATTTAGAGTAATTGCTGCTTTCTGCCCAGAATGATATCTTAAGAAAGAGTGTCCTTTTCAGACATGGTGTGTCAACTCATGCCATTGATTTATTTTAGGCACTGTGTTATGGATCCTAGGAAGGGTTCTGAGTAAGAGGATATGATACAATAAATTTCTCTACTGGGATAATCTATGGACAGAAAAAGAGATTCACTTTTGGAACCTTCCTTTTTTGAATAAGGAAACATCAGATACACTTGTCATTCTATCAATGTTGCTTTGAGGACAAAAAAATTAGGTCTATGGGGGCAGATGAAAAGAAGCTTTGAGTTGTATGGATTACAAGCTTTTTGAGAACTACCTCTTTCCCTATCCATTATCTTTATGTGTATGTTGTTGCATATGACAGCTTTTGATGGTGTAGGCCAACATGCTCTGTTAGTTTGTAGTGCTGTGCATAATTGAGTACCTGGACAGCAATGATGCTCTCCATTTAAATGGATATTTAATATCTCATTCAAAATATAATACACCAATGCTGCTGGATTTGAGGGCCATCCTGAAATTTCTGCTATGGAAGATCAGGGTATCATCCTCCTCCTCCTCTCTAGACAGCACATTGTTGTATAGCATCATATCAAAACCAGCCAATTGGGATTAGGTCATAAGTAGCAAATGTATGAAATCTGTGTAAAATCTTCACTACTTCATATGGCAATACGTTAATGAGCCTAAATGCAGTGATCAATAAGACATTTCTATGTTTAGTTCCAAACCTATCTTATTCCTTAGCTCCCTGTCATCCTTTTTCTCTCTGTCCCTGATCTTACCCTCAGGAATGGTTCACTGTATATGAACATAACCACTTTACCCGTTGCACAGTGTCTGATCTCATCATGGGCAATGAATACTACTTCCGGGTCTACAGCGAGAATATCTGTGGACTGAGTGAGCAACCTGGGGTCTCCAAAAACACTGCAAACATTCCGAAAACCGGTAAGCTCATGTATAGCTAGATGGCTTGAAAAAATAGCGGGGCCAAAGAAATTTAGCAGAGGGGATTGACTTTTATCCCAAATTCAGGAAGAGCAGATATATCCTCTCTTTCAAACATTGAATTATTCAGTTAACTTTTACGCAGCCATTATTTTTGCACCCCAGACATCTAAAAACCCAATTCTTATTAATACATTATTTATGTCCATCACAACACACTACAGTCTCTGGATATACTGGTCCGGTGACCAGGTGTTCTTCCAGTTGAAAAACAGGGGCATGGAAAAATGGCATTGAGCCAGCAGTCCACCTGCCACCTTTACTCATTCTGTGCTTGATTTGTGGTGATTTAAAAAGAGATCATGAATCAGTCACTGTGAAAGGAAAGCTGCAAAGTTGCCCTTCACTTAGCATAAGTAGCTTATTGAAAAGGAGTGGCAGTCACAACCCTAACCCTCAAAGGGATGGGAGAAAGCCAAGGAGCAGGGCAAGCTGAAAGTTTCTGTCAATGGGGAACCATCTGCCTGCAAACTCCATCACTACTGCTAGAAAACTGTCTTCACAGAAAATCTTCCTACATGTTTGAATCAGTTATTAATGGGCTCAGCTGTCAAAGGATGATAAGAGCATGAGTACGGGGGGGGGGAGTATAGTGCCAACTTTAAGAAAAGGGAATGCTTGGGTAAGAGAGGAAGAAGCTAAATAGTAACTCAAAGGAGAGATGGTTTAAAAATCCTGCATGTTTGCAGAATAGGTTAATATTCTTGGGTCAGGAAAAACATTTTAAAAAATTAAATCACACTTGACAAAGAAATTCATCCTGAGGATGAAATACTAATATGTACTTTAAGATATCAGTTATAGGAATATTTGTGTAGATTTTTCTTAAAATCACATGTCACTGCTAAAATAGGGTGCATCAGATTTATGTGAAAGAACAAAATCAGCAGAGGTGATCTAGGAATGGTTCTTATGTACATCTGATCAAGTCCAATCCCATTCAAAGAGATACCGAGAAAATTTGAGGATAAGATTGGAGCTTGAATATACTGAATCCACATATCAAAACCTTTAATTTGACTTTTATACAGTTTTCAAATCAAAATAGTTTGTTCTGGAATTATAAAATTTTATGATACAATGTATGGCCCTGGGTTAAAATAGAGTGTGACGGTGAAGATATTTGATTTGGATTGTTTTCTATTTTATCCCACTTGTTTGCATTCCCAGCCCAAGATAATCTGGATGAAGAACAAAGTGGATCTCAGTGGGGACCCCAAATTTCTGCAGAAAAACAACCAAGGAGTGTTGACCCTCAATATCCGTAAACCAAGTCCTTTTGACAGCGCCACATACACCTGCAAGGCCATCAATGAACTGGGCGAGGCCATAGTAGAGTGCAGGCTGGACGTTAAAGGTGATTTGGAATGAAATCATGACATGGCCTGAAAATGCATCAATGTCACTTGTCAAAGATGCAAAGCAGCGGCTGCAGCTAAGCCACTAACGTTTCCCAATATTGGCTCACATTCTCTAGAATTGCCATTCTTTGCTAACTCACTTTTACTGAGCATGTCACTCTTCTTATCACATTTCTGGATTTTGTAATTGTTGCCTGGAATTTCTTTGTACCTGTTTTTTTTTTTTAATTTTTACAAGAATAAGCTTTTGCTGCACCAACCCCAGCTTTGTTCAGCATGAAGAAGTAGAGCATTATTACATCTTTTGCAGGTGATTGGACCATTAATTAAGGCAGTCTTGACTGTTGCTTCTGTGGCTTTTGCTTCTCATTCAAGGCTTATGGGCATTAGTCATGGATAGACTTTTGAATCAGTTTCTTTGCTTGTATGTGTGTGTGTTAATTACAGGCTTACTTTCTCTTCTCGTTTTTCTTTTATAGCAAAGTAGCTCTTTAACCAGAAAGGAAAGGAAATAAATAATGCAAGGAAATACATTATAGCCAGCTCTTGCTGCTAAGCGCAGAACAGAAGCTGATTAATAATTCATTACTAAAACTTCAGACATGCTCACAGAGAGAATTACCCCAGTTCGGTCTTGAATCTTTAGATAGTGAAGAATCTTTTCCCTTGTATTCTCCCTTGTGCACTTTTTTATGTCTTTTAAAAGGATCCCCTGGGAACACAATGCACCACAGACAGATAGGGACAAGGAGTCAACAGCCTGGGCAGGATCTACATTACTACCCCTTGCTTTTGGGAGGCATGATGGCTGCATCGCTTCTGAAGGCATGTTTTGCCCAAGTAGATACGTGACTAATAGAAGAATGCAATACTTCCTGGTTTGACCACCTGGTTATTGGCGATACCTCATAACTGTGAGAGAAGAAAGAGACATTTTTAGCAATCAGTAACACACTAATTGTAGATTCCATTTGCTGACATACTCTTAGTTTTAGTCCTGTTTTCAACTTGTAAACATGCAAAGAGTTGATCATTTGTTTTTTGGGCTCCTGCACATTTGATGCAGTTAGGGCAAAAAAAGGAGATATAAATCACTTTTTGCTTACCAGTCTCCTGAGGGAAGCAGAAATCATGGCTATCTCTACCTCCCTTTTGGTTCCTTCTTTAGGCAATTTCACAATGGGAATCTATTCAGTTTGAATCTAGTCAATTGCACAATGCTTCCCCTGCTCCCAATGCTGACTCAAATTCTTGAGATTCTTGAGATTCTGCTTATGCTGCACAAGCAGCAGGTATGTTTGTATCCTAAAAATGAAACACTGAAGCTATTTGGCAGCTGGCAAAAGTGGCAAAGGCGGCAAGATCTGTTGTAAAAGGAATTGAGCAAAATAGATTTCTGAAGGAAAAATCATCATTTACATCACACATTGTGCCCATATAAATCCACATCCTATTATTTTAAAACTAAACCATATAATTTAACCATCAATTAACCATCAATTATTTTAAAACTAAACCATCAATTGAGGCTTGCAGAAACCAAGAGCATTCATATTAATCTGTCTATCACTCTACTATCTTCTCCATTGCCAGTTATTCCCAATGCTTTTAAAAACTTTTGTGCTACCGAATATACAGGTAGTCCTCAATGTTTATTGTTAAGTGAGACATTTGTTAAGTGAATTTTGCTCCATTTTACAACCTTCCTTGCCATAATTGTTAAGTGAATCACTGCAGTTGATAATTAGTAACCTGGTTGTTAAGTGAATCTCTTTCCTTGTTGACTTTGTCAGGTTACAATTGATGATCACATGACCTTAGGACCCAGCAACAGTCATGCCAAGCATCTGAATTTTGATCACACAATAATGGGGGTGTTTCAAAGCTCATAACATTGAAAAACAGTCATATCACTTTTTTCAGGCCATAGTAACTTTGAACGGTCACTAAATGAACTGTTGTAAGTCGAGGACTACCTATAGTTTTCTCATTCCGCTTTCAATGTTTATGGGTTAAACAAATCCTCTTCTTTCATAAAAAACAGGAGTGGCTAGATTATTGGCCTGCTGTCCTCACTTGTTTGTGCATTTGTTCCCATGTATTCGTGTTCATTTCTCTGGCAGTTTACATTCCTTCTAAAAGGCTGCTAATGGGATGGCTGCAAAAAGGATTGATTTTTGAAATTATAGTATTAGCAAATGTACTGAGAAGCCCAAAAGGCCTACTGTTTCCCTTGTGCCAGATAAAGTGTGTGCTTTTAACTCCAATAGTGCCTAAGTGTTATGTAGTAATGAACCAAGTGAGAGTTCCATGCTGGTATGGCACCTCTGAAAGGTGTGGCATTCAAACTATCTTGGCAATTTAATACAAAAAAAAAAAATGAATTGAAAACAAATTGAAATCAATGCCTCCAAACACAAGAGGAGCTTGCTAGAATATAAATTGCATCTGCTGCTGAAATGAGAAAGGGAAGAAGGAAAACAGCAGATGGCAGCAGCTGACTTATTCTGACTGTTCAGAAACTGGGTAGGGTTAAGCCTCCATAATACTTACTTTTAAGGGAGACCTTTCAGAGCAATAGGCTCTTAGAAAGTTGAAAGAAATCCAGAGGTTGTAACTAGCAAACTATTTCTATACTACTGGCAAGAAAACTACACTGATTTAAATTACAACAAGCTAAATACTGATTGAATGTTAGAAAAAGCTTTCCAAGAGGGGGACAGTTGGATACTGAAACTGATCACTCAGAGAACTAGTCCCCTTTGACTAGCTGAGTTCAAGTAGAAGATAAATAGCTATTAATTTGAGATGCTTTAATTTACATTTCTAAAAGGCTGAATTTGATAATTCTAATTGGGGCCTTTCTAACTCTGTGATTCTATGGACATGTTCTTCTGTCACTCATGAGCCAAGTTAAATTTCAGGCAGACTTTACTTTCAAACAGTAAGGAGGAACTTGAGATTCACTTGACTTGCAATTTACCAGCATTAATTTCTAGTTAACATCATGGAATCAATGGAAGATGGTACACAACCAGCAGCAGTGGCAGGGAGTCTTCAATCCCCAACTCAGGATGTGGAATTTGTTGTTCAAATGAGTGAAAAAGAGAAAGAAGCTTTGCTCGCCTTTTCATGAAGCTAACATAAAACTTCTAAACTCATTCATTCTTGTTTTTTCTTTTTATTCTCTTCTTCCCTTCCCAACAGCACCTCAGTAACCTTGTTGACACAATTATCAATTCAAGCAAATGGTGAATTATCAATTCAAGCAAATTCAAATAAATGGTGTATTTATTTTTCAATATATCTAAAGAGGGAATAAGTTAATGATTGGGATCCAGAGGACAACAATGCTTTCTGTATTCCTCTAGAAAGAAGTGACTTGGGTGTACTAGAAAATAACCTGATGATCAGGACTACATCTTTTTTAAAAAGGTGGTGCTTGCATAAGTTTTACATCACGAACTTAGGCAAATTCAGCCCATCTTACTCAGGTGTACTATGTAAATCCTAAACACTGGTTTAAGATCTAGTGAGCCAAAGAGTCTGGATGAGTCTCTAACATCAGTCCATTCCCCACCCTCAAGTTTATAGCATCTTCTGTATCATCCAATCATTTCTGAGGTGAAATAAAGCCTGAATCCATTACTGTTATTGTAGCACAAAGTTTGATGACTCCAGATGATTCTGTAGATCTCAGTTTGGACTCCTGAAGAAGAACTCTGTCATACCTGAATTATCTGGGAGCACTGAAATATTGGAAAGACTGGGGAGCATGGAAGGGGGCCTTGAGGGGGAAGTCAAATGACCTATTTACTCCCAATTTCCACAAACAGTGATTCTTGCTCTGCTTTTTCCTCAGCATGTAGTCACCTCATTTTTGCTCCAGTGTCCTTTCCTATATTGTGCACAGGCTGGGCAGAAGTGCATCAAGACCAGTCTCTCTTCTTTTACCACCAACCCTATTACAGAAGCCACACATATCATATTTGGAGCAGAATTACAACAATCCAGCTAACCTTCTCCTAATCTGTCTGTCTGTTCAGTCAGTTCCTGTGTCAATAAAGTGAATTGATTGACTAATCTGGATCCCTCTTCCTGTTGGAAAGGTCGGCAACATCTAAGATGGGGTGGAAGACTGTGGAGGAAGAGATGTTCTTGTTTAGAGGATGGCAGGTCTGAGCAGATGTCTTACAATTATCAGCTATGTACAAAGCAGTTTTGTCCATTCATTTATTGATGGGGTAAGTGAGTGGGGAATTTGCAGTAACTTCATGTGGGGAGGAAAGTATCCAACACTGTGAGCTTCTGCTGGGAGGAGAACCTTACTTTGTATTAGTGTGTATGACTATGAGGGGATAGAGAAATCCTTGGTTCCCCTGAGCGGCGGCGTCTTCTTCTTTACCAGGAAAAATTGCTCCTTTTCCTCTTCCTGAAAAAAGAAAGACAGATAGGGACAGACAGGCAAAGGCACAGAGGAAGCTGACCCAAAAAAACAGTCATCCGCAATGTCAAAATGACTTCAAATGTTCTTAGCATCTTTCTAGCATAATTCAGTTGCCTACTAGTTTCAGAACCTGCTTCACCAATTGCTTTTTCCAGCAGGTCTTGGACTCTCATTGCTTCTCCAATAAGGTTTTCACTGTTTCTCCAGTTCTGAGTATCAGTGTCTGAATCCCTATTGAATCCCAAGAATCAGTCCCCTTCATGGAGATCTGGGCAACTGGAGGAATGAACAGGGAATCCTATAGTGGGCCAGGTGCTGGAGAAAGGAGCTGAGGCTCACCTAATTAAAGGTATTTCTACGATGATGCAGTGCAGTCTCCTTTTCATAAGTAAGGGGGGCATCATTGCGGTAAAAGCGCAAGCGGTATAGCAGCCGTATCCAGTGCCCAAAGATCTCATCCTGCTTGAGGGGGTGTGCTAGAAGCTGCAGATAAAAAGTGCGGCCATTCGCCAGACGGACTTTGAGCTGGAACCGTGATTCATCATGGATATAGAGACGAACGAATTTCAAGGGCAGAAGCCTGGAAATGAACAAGAATTTTTAGTAAATAAATTAAGAGCATCCAAACAGAATTTCTTTGAAAATGCAAATAAACCGGGAAGATGGTTAGCATATAAAATAAAAAAAGAGAAGGAGAAGAAAATAATATAACATTTACAAGATGAAGAGGGGAAATTACATTATAGAAATGAAGAAAAGAAAATAATAATTCAAAAATATTATGAAAAACTTTATTATCAAGAGGAAATCTTGGAGGATGAGATAATAAAATATCTAAAAAACTCAGACTTACCTAAAATAACTGAACAATACAAGGGAATGTTAGAAGAAAGAATAATAATGATGGAATTGACAGAAGCGATTAAAAGACAAAAAAATGGGAAAGCACCAGGACCGGATGGCTTACCAGAGGAACTATACAAAACATTACAAGAAGTGATGAGTAATGTAATGCTGGAACTATTTAATGAACTTCTAATGGAGGCAACAATGGCAGACTCATGGAGGGAGGCCTATGTAACACTTATACCTAAAGAAGATGATGATCTACAATTGATAAAAAACTATAGACTGATCTCATTATTAAATGTGGACTATAAGATTTTTGCTTCAGTAATGGCGAATAGGCTATAAAGACTATTAAATGAATTTATCCATATGGACCAAAATGTTCTTTACCTAAGAGACAAATCAGAGACAATATGAGGATAATTTTAAACATGCTAGAATATTATGAGACACACTCAGAAAAACAAATGGCGATGATGTTTATAGATGCTCAAAAAGCTTTTGATAACGTGAATTGGCAATTTATGATAGAACAATTGCAGAAAATGGATTTTGGAGAGAGATTTGTAAATACTATAAAAACAATTTATGATAGACAATCCGCTAAGATAATGATAAATGGAGAAATGACAGAAAATATTAATATTACGAAGGGTAAAAGACAAGGATGTCCCTTATCCCCATTGTTGTTTATTTTGACCTTAGAAGTCTTAAATAGAAATGAAGAGATAAAAGGGATGAAAATTAAAAAAGAAGAGTACAAACTGCAAGCTTTTGCTGATGATTTAGTATTCATTTTAGAAGAACCTCAAACAACAGGCCCTAAACTAATTAGAACAAATAGAGAGTTATGGGAAGGTCTCTGGTCTAAAAATAAACAAAGAAAAAATGAAAATTTTGATGAAAAATATTACAGAAAAACAAAAGAGAGACATAAAAGAGAAATTAGATATACAAGTTGCAAAAAAAGTTAAATATTTGGGAGAATACTTAACGTCAAGATGTGCAACAATAAAAGAGGATAATTATTATAAACTAAAAGAACAAATTGAGAAAGACTTGGAGAAATGGAAAAATCTTCAACTGTCATTTATGGGAAGGGTTGCAATAATAAAGATGAACATATTACCAAGACTATTATTTCTATTCCAGACAGTAACGATAAAAATTGAAAAGACTTACTTTCAACATCATAATAAGATAACAAGGAAATTCATATGGCAAGGGAAAAAAGCAAGAATAAGTATAAAAATGCTATAGGATTCAAGACTACGTGGAGGATTTGGATTGCTGAATTGGGAACTACATTACCAGGCAGCAGCATTGACTTGGATAAAGCAATGGATTGAATTAAGATATATAAGACTATTAACATTGGAAGATCACGATTTACAATTGGGATGGCATGCATTTTTATGGTAGAAATAAGATAGACACGTACTTTCATAGACATTATATAAATTACGCATTGCTATTGGTGTGGGAGAAGATTAGAGACAAATACTATGTGAAAATACCAATATGGTTATCAACAATGGAAGCTTTAATACACCCAAATATCTTTAATTTTAGAAATATTGTTAGATATAAGGAGTTACTAACAGATAAGGGGAAGGAGAAACAAAGAACTGGAAAAACAGGGGATTGAGATGGATTGGTATATGTACATGCAAATACAAACAAGATATGAAAAAGATGCTAAATTACATGGTTTTTACTTAGAAAAAACAGAGTTGGATAGGATACTCCCAGGAACAGAGGACAAATTAATTTAAAAAATTTATAATTTCTTGCTTGGCATTGAGTTAGAGGAAGAACAAGTAAAGGAAACAATGATAACTTGGGCAAAGAATTTTAGATACTCAATTTAGACAAATGACAACAGTTATGGGAAAGGAATTACAAACTAACAATGTCCACAGCATATAAAGAAAATCAATATAAAATGTTTTACAGATGGCATATGCCCTCTGAGAAACTGGCAAAAATGTTTTTTAAAAAATCAGCTAAATGTTGGAAATGTCACCAGTTAGCAGAATCTTATTATTATATGTGGTGGACATGTCCAGAAGCTAAAAACTATTGGAATAAAATTAAGACATGGTTGGAAGAAATGATACAACAACGTATAGATTTCAAACCAGAGCTGTTCCTATTGGGTATCCTTTCAGATAAAACTAATAAAGAAAATACCTATTTGATTATACATGTAATAACAGCTACAAGGATTGTTTTTGCACAAAATTGGAAATCGGAGAAAATAGCCTTGGAAGGAGAAGTAATTAAAAAAAATTTAGACTGTGCAAAAATGAATAGATTAACTCTGATGATTAAAGAAAAAATAGGATTCAGAATACTTTAAGACAGGGGATCAATTTTACCATTGGTTAGAAAAGAGATACAGATGAGTAAATAAATAGCTATGTAAAAAAAATGGTATAATTAGAATATTGTACTTTTGGAGAAATGTTGCAATAGATTTGGTGAAAATGAAGATAGAAGTAACAACAAAAATGGTTGATCTCCAAAATGGCGTGTAGCGATAGAGGAAGTGCAGCATGACCAGGGAAAAATATAATTTAATGTTTAAATTGTTGTTAATTATTGCTAAACTATTGTTTAAAAACTAAAGTGAGATAATATAAGGGTTCCCCATACATTTTATTATTTCTCCCCTTCTATCACATTAAAATTTAGTATCTGGATGCATTTCTTGAGGTAAACCACAGACAAGGCTTTGGGGGTATATCCCTGTAAGATGATGGTGTGATGAAAGGCACTCACGCAAACAGCTGCAGCTCCTCATCTGCGAAAGGCAGCGCCTCAGGACACTGACATACACACCATTCTGTTAGGCAGGGAACTGGCCGTGCCAGCAGCATAAGATCAGGCATCTCTAGATGTGGGCTACTGGCAGCGATGCCCATGGTGACTCTGGTGGCAATATCTCCTGCCTTGGTAACCTGGAAGGGAAACATTCATTTTGAGGGTTCTTTGCACTTTTACACTATTACAACAGAAAGCTTTGAAATAGTCCTCACATAACAACTATTAAGCTAAAATCAAAATATTGATAAGTAGTTGATGGCTCTATACAAACCCAACTGGGATACATCAATAAGCTCAATTAACTACAGGCCAGAAATCTGTACAGAACAAGACAGAGTTAGAAAAATAGCATCTCTTTATCCAAGTCACTGAAAATTTACCAAGTTTTAAAGACTGTTAAATAAAGATTAAGTCAGGGATAGAGATATTCTGCTCTTCCAGATATTGTATAACTGTAATTCCCAGTGTTCCTTTTCATTGGCTTTGCTGAATACAGATATTTCAAGTTATAGATGAGCAATGTCTGGACAGCTGAAGGTTTTCAAGCAATGAAATCAAACAACGGTAATTTTAGGAATGAACTCAATTCATCTACTGAGGATTTATGACATGGTCATCCAAGGAAATGGCAACCATTGTTTTCTGTATTGTTGTCAAGACTTGTCTATGAATTCAGCAGAAGTCAAGTTTCAGCATCTTTACTCAATAGAAATTATCAAACATTTTTCTTTATAGACCACTTGTAAATTGGTGATAGATGCAGAAAGATCATTTTAGTTCTAAAAATCAGTGGCAGCCTTGCCTATCCAGTGCAAAGGATATGCTTGTTTAGTCAGCAAAGTTTGTCAGATTTAGCTTTGGATCAGGTTTCGCATTTATTCTGATTAGTCTAAGTACATCAATCAATTACATTAACATCCCACCTTTTTCCAATGAGATCTAGATGGGGTCGAAAAAACAATATCCATGCAGTAACAACTCTAACATTGAAAAAACCTGACCTCAAGTCATTCAATGAACTCCCTGGACATCCTGATCCCACATTTAACCAGTAGAACAAATCGACTTCTTCTCACTTTCTGTATGCTTCTTACATATAATTGGTGGACCATGAGAGTTTCAGAATTGTTGATGTAGACTCGGTATCTCAAACTTATCTGCCACAGTCCACATGCAGCTCTCCATCACATCTTACTGATACCTACAGCAGGAGAGAATATTAAGGCAGCAGGTGCTCTTTGCCAGGTGCTATAGATTCTTCTTGCTTAAGAAGAAAGCATGACTTGGCTTTGCACACAGCTGAGAGATAGCTGCATTCCTAGTCCTGTTATAGCTCAGGCCAAGGCCTGTCAGCCTGCCACTGGTGGCAAAGAGTTGTGGTAGGATAGTTGCAGGGATCTCTACTTGCTTACTGTCCACTGTCTTTGAACTCCCTGCTGATAGCCTTGGCCTAAAAAGAACAGTCCCTTGAAATGATTCAGATTTGAGATTCCTGATATGAATTATGTCAGGGGGAAAATCCATTTCAAATATTCAAAGAAATAGAAGGATCAAGAGAAGACAGATATGTGTCACCACTCCCTTCATTATATTGATGAAAGTTCAAAGACTGCCTGCAGCGGAACAGGTTATATAAGGCTGATTTAGGAGAAAAATCACAATTCTCACTTCACAAAGGAGAGAGATTTTAGGGACAACAGGAAATAAAGTGCACTAATGCTGAACTTCCCACAGTGAAACCTCCTGTAACCAGGTGCCCTGCAGATCTATTGTAGTGCAACGCCCATTATCCCTGAGTAACATAGCCACTGACTTAAGATGCTACTGAGCTGTTCACATATATTTCAGTAGAATCGAATTTATAAATAAAGCTTGGGGCATAATTGAAGTATAACCTGTTAAAATGACTTTATTCTTATGTTTTATTGATTTTTTTTCTTAATTAGATATCTCAAGTATTTTTTATTCCTGGAAACATAATAATGGCATACAAAAAATGGCTTTGCTTATAATTCTATATGCTGTATCAGATTCCAATTTGATTTAGGACATTTGATTTGCTTCTTTAGTTCGAAAAAAGATTAGTCAGTAGAAACGGTTGTAAGGATTCCTGTCTTTTCTCTAGATGGGTAAGAAAAAGACAGCCTTCTCTAACATGTTTTTCCCCCAGATGTGTTAGGATCAAGTTCAGTTAACTCCAGGAAAAATTAGATTAGGAATCTCTGTCAAGACTTCTAACTTCCAAATGCAACCAGACAGAATGGACAACTGGCAGCATAAGGTTATTGTGCTGACCAGTGGTGGGATTCAAAAATTTTTACTAACGGTTCTGGGTAGGCTTGGTGGGCGTGGCAGGGGAAGGATACTGTAAAATCTCCATTCCCACCCCACTCCAGGGGAAGGTCACTGCAAAATCTCCATTTCCTCCAGATCACCCGGGACTCGAGAGGCAGAGAATAGATGGGGGCAAGGCCAGCCAGAGGTTTTATTTACCAGTTCTCCGAACTACTCAAGATTTCCGCTACCGATTCTCTAGAACAGGTCAGAACCTGATGAATACCAGCTCTGGTGCTGACCTAGAAACCAGAATTCATGAGTTCTAGTCTCATCTTGGGCAAGAAAGCTGGGTAGGTGACTTCGGCAAGTCAGCCCATCCCACATCACAGGGTTGTTGTTGTGGGAAAAATAGGAGGAAGAAGGAGCATTAGGTATGTTTTGCTGCCCCATGCCATTTATAAAAATAATAAAAGCAGGATATAAATAAAGCAGGGCATAAATAAATAAATAGTGGAATGGTGAAGGCATTTACACACATGAAGCAGAACAACTAAATGAGATACCCCTGCTTAATTTTTTTAAATGAAAACAGAAAAACAGATACCATCCTAGAAAAAAAGCACCTTCCCACTGATTTTTTTACAGTTGGAGTGCCTTTTCAAAAATAGTACAGGGTGCTAATTATGTTCAGCAAATGCAATAACACTGCTCTCCCAAACAAATTAGATATATCTTGCCACTGAAAAACACTATTTTAGCTTTATATATGGCAATATAATCCTAACAAACTGATTTTTTTTTGCCTTATCTGACTCAAGAAAAGTTAGAACTTGTTGCTTTTTGGTAGAGTTTCGAAATCTTCAGCCTCAGCTAATGCAAGACTTCTAGGGGGCTAGGTTGACTGGTGGAAATAATTTATTTATTCCATTCTTAAGTTTCTGAAAGAATGTTATGGCCAGTATAGAAAGTAAAATAAAGTTGTTGTAACAATAACATTGCAGAGGCGCATATGTCTAACATGCCTGTGAAAAAGAAAAGTCATAGATCATCTTACAATCACCAATTTCCATTGCTAAGCAAGGTGGTTGTTAAAGGAATTATACCTGATGTTAAAACTGTCATAACAGTTGTTAAGCAAGCATCGTTGTTAAGCAAATACAGCTTCACCTATTGGTTTTGCTCGCCGGAAACTGCCTGGGAAGGTCACAAATGACAATCACATGATCCCAGGATGCTGTGACTGTTGTAATTACATGCCAGTTACCAAGCACCAGAATTTTGATCATATATCCATGGGAATGCTGCCATGGTTGTAAGTGTGAGGACTGGTTGTAAGTCACTTTTTTCAGTACTGTACATAACTTGAATGGATGAAAATGAAGGTAGCCTGTACATGGTGCTGAAAAGAGTATGAAGAGGGCACCAAGTAAACAATCTCAAGGATACCAATATCCACAGAAAAGGTTGTACTTGCCCTTTTTCATTTTCTCAAGAGCATTGGAGGAGGCCTTAGGGTTCAGATTTTCGGAAGTAAATACTGGGGGATATTTTTCTAATTTCCTTCCCACTCTGTTTCACCTGTAAAAAATTGCTTTCATACAGATCACAATCTTTCAGTGCTCCATATTCTCCGCTGTTCAGGCACCTCCGCAGGTCTCCCATTTCAAAATGCAGATATCCAGAGGACACAGAAGGATCCTGACTACGGTGCTGGAGGCCCTGTGAGGAGAATACAAAAAGGAAATTTAAGAGAAAGATCTGAAAGGACTGCAAATTTCTATTTAAATAAATGAAAGGAGAACAGGTAGGAAAGCCAGGACTTGTCTCTTGGGTGGGGTAGGATTGCTAGAATTTTGAATCTGGTCATAAGTACCTGCCAGGGACTTCAGTGGTAACAGTCATAAGAACAATTGTCAGTCTTGAAAAGACTGGACTCCATTGGCAACTGTTTCGTATGAATGCCACATTCTCTTGTGGATCATCTGTTGGAGGGCTGATGGTGAGGGGGCTAAAGCAAGCCTTGGTAGTACAGTGGTTTAATGCACCCTGTTATTAACACAGCTGCCTGCAATTTCTGCAGGTTCGAATCTTACCAGGCTCAAGGTTGACTCAGCCTTCCATCCTTTCTAAGGTAGGTTAAATGAGGACCCAGTTTGTGGGGGCAATAAGCTGACTTTGTATAAATATACAAAAGTATGAAGGCTATTGCTTAACACATTGTAAGCCGCCCTGAGTCTCCGGAGAAGGGCGGCATATAAATCAAATTTAAAAAAAAAAAAAAAAAAAGCAATGAGAGTGCACACAAGTTACCTTCCAGACATTTCTCATTTTTGTCATTCTTATTCTTTTTCCTTATTGATAGAACTTACAAGAGACCTGAAATCATCTCTTACATAACTATTTTTAAATTAGGCCGAGGGCAACAAGGTGCTCATCTAAAGCCTAGACCCTAGATAGGCAAAGAGACTAAACTCATACATTGCGATAATTTAAATTGTGTTTTATTTGGTTATAATTTACAAAAAAAGAGAATATTTGCAGCTCAAAGTTGAAATGGCGTGAACCCCAAAATTGAAAGGTGCTCTCTGAGGTTGGTTGTTTTCTTGCAGACATTTCATTATCCAAACTAGGTAGCATCATCAGGGCTAGTAAGAATTGGATTTACTCTCAATTTATATCCTAGTGGCTTGGTGGGAGTGGGTCTTGGAGATTCTTTGGTTGGGCTGTTTACTGTTTATTTGTTACGCAGCTTCATCACTAAGTGCCTGACCACTCAATTCAATATAGGACAACCAACATAAGCCATAAAAAGGATAACATTGCCATACATCAAAAATATCTCAGAAACCACCAACAGAAAAGCACATGGAATCAGCATAGCACACAAATCAACTAAAACCCTCCTAAACATCCTAAGGAAGCCAAAAGACCTAGCAGCCCCAGAAATAAAAACAGAAACCATCTACAACATACAGTGTGAAGACTGCAACAGTTACTACATAGGACCAACAGGAAGATTAGCAGAACACATCCAGAAATACCAACTCAGAGTCAGGAGAATGATGAAAACTCTTTAATTTCACAACATATAGACAGATTTAACCATGGTTTCAACTGGGAAACTGACATCCTAGACCAAGCCAAGTCCAAAACGCTAGACAAATGCTTACAATTTGGCCACCATTAGACACATAGACATTAAACAACATCTACATACTGCTCAACAATCTAAAAAGGGAACAAAAAGATCAAAACATCTCCCCACCAGCAATCAACAACCTGATGAGTATAGATTAACATCAACATCAGACTAACAATCAAGAAGTAAACAATACCCCAATCAAGGAACTGCCAAACAAGCTAAGAGTAAATGGCCCAACCAAAGAACCTCCAAGTCCACTCCCACCAACACTGACATGGCAAGTCACTAGAATACTAATTGAGCGCAAAGCCCACTCCTTTTACTTAGTCTGCAGGACTAGCAATAGCACTTTGACTAGTCCATATACCACTTCACAGTGCTTTACAGCCCCTCTCTAAGCAGTTTACAGAATCAGCATATTGCCCCCAACAATCTGGGTCCTCATTTTACCAATTTTGGAAGGATGGAAGGTTGAGTCAACCTTCAGCCGGTGAGACTCGAACTGTCAAAGTGCTGGAGGTCAACTGTCAATAGAATTAGCCTGCAATACTGCATTCTAACCACTGCACCACCACGGCTCTAAAGAAAAAAAAACCAACCCAGCTTAGAAAGCACCAAGGACTTCTAGTTTTATTTTAGGATGTTGTTTGAATTCAGCCATAGCTTGACTTACCTAGATCACAACAGGATAAATTTGACTTGTTTCTTAAATTCACCTCAACCTTTGTTCATGTTACAATGCAGTTTTGTCAATAGAAGAAACAGCAAATAATAACTTGAATGCAGAGCCTAGGGGTAGATTGAATACTTGGCAACCTCTCAATTAAATAATTAATTCCAGTCTAAGGGAGGAAAATTTGAAACTGACTTAACAAAATAAACTTCTTTTTCAGTCATATTTGAGCAGCAATGACAAAGTAAAACAAAGGAAAATAAATAAATAAATCATGTAATTCCTACAAATGTTGATTTTTTTATGTGTGAGTTCTCCTCTTGCAAAAAGGGAACTGGAATAAAAAACTGTATGAATTGCAAATCTTGGAAAAGCAGAATCATAAGTTATCAGAACCAGAATATTTCTTATATTGTGGGAAGAAATATTCATCTGGTTCAGTTCCAACCGGGGAGAAAGGCAATGGAGACAAAATGGAGGCTGGAGGCTGATTGGAAAGAGGGTCCATTTATTGATGAAGCAGAATTACCAAGCAGTATAATTCTGGGCAGCTGACAAAATGGAGTTTAGAATGGGTGGAGCTTTATACTTTCTTTTGGGCTTTGCACTTGGGCTTCCTGTTCCTATGCTAGAACATGTATTCTACTGGCTGTTGTCAGATTCCTATGGGGTCATGTAGGGCTCATAGCTAGCTCTGTAGGCAAAAGTGGAAATGTAAATCCTAGGTGCTTGTCTGTGCTAGTTTTGTCAACCTTTTGTTTCTTGCTTATGAGTTTCTGTCTTGACCCAGCCTTTCTGAATGGATTACCAAATCTGCATTTCTAAAAGCTGGCCTTAGTTTTTGCTGCTTGGATCGGAGAAACTGGGGCTGGTTTTTGAATAGTCTGGCCCAATCTTTCTTAATGGGCACAAAATATCTGCTGGGGCTATTAAAAAAGACTGAGTCTGCTTTCTGTCTTTTTTAAAAAAGCATGCTTCTTCATTTCTCATCTAGAAAAATATAATATTCTGCCTTTTTAAATAGTCCCCAAAATATTGCATTCTTCTGGGGATGGGATGCTGACTTTCTACAATATCAAGTTTAGATTCCTGCTAAAGTGAAATTGAAGACTTTCGACCAATCTCCAATATCTCTGCATAATCACTCAATTTTGTGATGACACATTAAACCAAAGAGCAGCTGCCACCATTGCTTAGGAAGAAAAATGGGATAGGCAACTTTTGTTTTTTCTTGCAAACACACACGATTGCAAACAGTATAATATTTATTTGGATGGTTATTCTGTTTACTAAGGAAGGAAATAAACTCTAGTTTCTGCAGGAGACTCTAGTTCGCTCTTGGCTCTACTTGGTGGCATCGATTATATTCTACTTCCTTTTGAAACAGTTGTAGCATCCATTATGCTAAGGATGATGGGTCATACAAATCCAAGACAACCTTTCTGACTTGGGTCTAGGAAAATTGCAGGTTGTTATTTTATCCTTTCATCGCCCTCAAAAATAGAGGAGACGATGCCAGAGATTAAAGGATGAGGCGCAAGAAAACCCATCGTGCAATTTCTTCCCCATCACTCGAGCCGGCTGTTCCTACGTCATCCTTTCTTCTCAGCGCTTGCAGCTGCGAGACAAGCCGCCGCCACGTGCGGCGCGAGCGGAGAGCCAGCGCTTAAGAGAGGCGCTAAGCCGCAAAGCGCCGGTGATTGGCTTTCGCTCGGCTCTTGAACGCTGCACTTCGGCCCCCAGAGTGCTTTGCGGTTGCTCTGCCTGTCCTCTTTTCCCCAGATCACGTGATCCGTGGAGGGAGCTATGGCGGCTGCCGAACGACCGCTCTGCGCCTGCCTCCTGCTTGTCGTCGCCCTCCTTCTTTCCCCCTCGCCTCAGGTCCTTGCCCGGGCCTCTGCAGCCTGCCGGGGAGAGGCCGTTGTCAAGGTAGGTCTCACGGTAACATGGGTGAGGGCAGAGCTGACTTTGGTTGCCAGGACCTAAGCTGTGCTAGACGCCACCCTGGTGTTTCCATGGATGCCTAAGGAATTGTAGGGAAAAGATTCACAGGAGTGCTGCTTCTGAGTCTGGATGCTTCCTTTCGCCATAATCAGTGGTTGTGAGAGCTTTTTTCCTCCACCAGCACTATTTCAGCTGGTGGCTCGCCTTTGCATCTTGTGGCAGCGAGTCCCGTAGTTTAACTCTGTACCCGAATGATGCCTGTTTTGAATCTCCTAACAGGCAGCTTCATTAAATGGATTGGGACCTGCAGTTACGAGAGGCGATAAATGTATAATATATTCTTCTTTGTGGCTGTGTTTTCATTTAGTAAGAAAAGAGATGAAGCTTCATGAGTTCTGCCATTAATATGCCATAAAGAAAGACTAAATGGCGATGCATCAAGGCCTTCTGATTTGGGGAAGGAAGCAGCTTAGCAAAAGAGGCTGGGACTTAAGTGCCATCTTGGCATAAAATATTGAACTCGCTTATTAATTGTATGTACAATAATGTTACTTTGGGAGCTCAAGATGGATTACACGGGGATCTCCTTCATTTTATCCCTACAACAGCCACTCTGTGAAGCCAAGTTGAACTGAGAGAGTGACTAGCCCAA